TGTAGTAAATATTTTCCCATTTTTCATTACTTCTTAATGAAATCATTGAATTTCCTCTAATATTTCTTCCTTTTTTTCATTGTTTTGTTATATGACATTGGGTTTCTCTGTGTATCTCTATTTGCCTTGGAGTTTTAACTTTGAAACCTGGTGAACTCTCAGTGATCCACTTGTTTCTGCCTCCAGAATTTGGAAATTATGCACCACTGAGCCAAGAGTCAATGGAGATTTCATTTCTTTTTATTTTTATTTATTTTTTGTTTTTTCGAGACAGAGTTTCTCTGTATTGTTTTGGAAACTGTCCTGTAACTCACTATGTGGGCCAGGCTGGTCTTGAATTCACAGAGATCCACCTGCGTCTGCCTCCCAAGTGCTGGGATTAAAAGCATGGGCCACCAACGCTCAGCCCATTTTTTTCATAAATTAAAGAAATCTCATTTACATATCAATCTTTCATCTCTATCTCTCCAGTCCTTCCAATTGCCCCACCATCTCCCAATCCTACCCTCATTCACTCCTCAGAGAGAATGAGGCCTTCCATGGGGGATCATCAATCTGTCCCAATATATGGCACAGTACCAAAGCCCTCTTCACTGTGTCTTGGCTGAGCAAGGTATTCCTCCATAGGGAATGTGCTCCCAAAAGCCTATTCATATACTAGGGATAAATACTAGTACCACTGCCAGTGACCCTAGACTCCTCAAGCGCCCCAGCTCATACCCACAATCAGGGGGCCTAGTTCAGTGTTTTGCAGATTACCCAGGTGTCAGCCTTGAGTCCCTAAGCCCCCACTTGCTTAGGTCCTCTGATTCTGTGGGTTTCCCCAACACAGTCTTGAACCCTGTTGTTCATCACTCCTCCCTCTCTACAACTGGAGTCCAGGAGCTCAGATCAATGCTTAGCTGGGAATCTCTGCTTCTGCCCCATCAGCTCCATTGTTGATGGTAATGCAAACTCATACAGTTACTGTGGAAATCAGGATGTTGGTTTCTCAGGAAATGGGAATTGATCAACCTCAAGACATAGCATTTCCACTCTTAGTAATATAATCAAAAGCTGCACACTCACACCACAAGGACAAACCACAAGAGGAATCTTCTTTTTTTGCATATGTCAAGTAGTTTTATTTTTGTTTGTTTTTTATTGTTTTATTTTGAAAAAGGTTTTCACTGTGCATCACTGAGCCAAAGCCATTGGGGATTGCTGAGACATTTGTGACGCATTCCTGTTATGTCTGCTGCTGATTGTGTGGTGGGCAGCCCATTTGGTTGCAAAGGCAAGGCATAGGTAAAGGAGGGCTGAGTTAGACTTCGCTGATCCTTTGTGTATATAGAATTTACTAAACAGAGATAGATTCATGCTGTTCTAAAACATTTATCATGTCATTTTTGTTTCCAGGGTTGTGTTGTTTAACACCTTTTTATATCTTTAGTCATCATTGATAAACTGAAAAAGCAGTTATCTATTACAATCATTTTTAATTACCAGCTCCATAACCCAACTTCTAAGAATCTAGAGGCAATTGAAGCCCATTCACAGGTGGGCAGTTCTTGATGTTTGAAGAAATCTAGATAGAAAAAATGTCTTAAGCCAGCCCTGGCAAGTTGCCATTTACCTAGCAATGTTTTAATAACTCTTAATGGTCACTGTATTCAAGAAAGATCCTCAGCCCAAACCTGCTGCAGGTTAATGTTCCTTTTCTGACATAATACAATATTCAAGTTCTATATCTTTACTAATTTAATGCATATATGTAATCCTAGTACTTTTATTCCATCGTCATAAGATACCACAGTAGCCCTGCACAAGCTAACTTTTCTAGGAATGGAGGTCCTGACACCTCTTTCTTTGATCAGTTTTCACAGTATTCTTTTCCCATTGATATGAATTACTGTGTAAGGCAGAGGTAGCTCTAGCCATTCTAATTTTGTTACTGGGTATACCACATAATCACCTGAACATACTGAAGGAAGACTTGGACTTTGTTCTGATTAACTTATTTTTGAGTAAGTACAGGCATGGATGTTTCAAGACTATCTCAGAGCCTTAACAAGAGACGTCTGTCTTTATGTGCATCGCATCCTAAAAGGCATAAGGAAGATCTTTAAATTAGATGAGTATATCTCCCTAAAATCAGAGAGGTTCTATGCACATGATATTCCTGGGGAAGCTTACCAGTACTCCTAGGAGAAGTCATGAATGATTCATAAGAATTTCCATAATTCCAATATGTCCATGTTGTACAGATATGAACCACCCCAATCATGCAAGATATGGAGGTCAAAGCATCAATTCAGGTTGAGGGCATCATATAGCTCAGTTGCTGGATCTTGGTCAAGATGCTGAGCTGGATCCATGACTTTCACAATTCTCATCAGAAATGTCTGAAATAACAAAGACAGCTTCTCTCTTTACATTTTCTCACCCTCTTTCTGTTTTAAAGTTTTATTCTACTATGAAGATTTTGAAGTGAGAAAATGGTGAGATCACTTGTTTGCATTTAATTTAGGGTGAGATTTGCTTTTGTGAGCAATTTGAACACTACAGAAAGGATTTGTCTAATTGAATATGTTTGATAGGTGTAACTTCTAATGAATAATGATGCATAGGTATTATGTATTGTGGCTCCAAAGGAGTCGGTGCCGAACCGGAAGCCGAACTCCGGGAAAAGAGACCGAGACTTCCTGTGTGCTGTCTTTTATGCCTTCCCCTGTAACGCCCCCTAGCCATGCCCAAAAGTGACGTAGTTTACCGCCTACGTAAGTATACGTCTTTACGTCCGGCCATATACGTCTTTAGTCATGCCTAAAGTGGGTGTGGTTAGCGGTGTGGTAAACCGCCCTTTTATTACCTCATCTGTATGCGCCTCTAGTAAGTCACATGTTTAATGGCGGCATACAGACTTCCTCCTACAATGTATGATAAAAATTTATGTAGTTCCTGGAAATATGAGTTGTGTTATGTACAGCAAATTAGAGGTCTTTCCTACATTTTTATGTTACTACATTTTGTCATTATTATTATTTATTATTATTATTGTTAAGACTGAGTATGAAGTCCTGAAAGCCCTAGAACTGAATATATAGACCATGGTGACCTCAGACTCACAGAGATCTTCTTGCCTCTGCCTACCAACTCCTGGGATTGAAGGTATGTATCACCTTGCATGACATTATTCTCAATTTTTGGATGTTGATCAAGATACATATTTCACAACTGTGTTTAAGTACAGCTTCAGGGAATATGATGCCCTCTTCTGGCCTCCACAGTCATCAAACAAATACATACTGCCAGAAATTCTTGTAGCCAAGGCAACCACACACATTTAAAATAATTCACACAGTTATTTTGTCAGAATTTTATTTCAATATGAACTCTGTGTAATTTTATAAGTTTTAAAACTTATATAAAGGCTTTCAGAAGTTCCTTATCTTTGTTTCCATTATATATATCTGGGATTTTAAGTCAAGAACACTATATAAATGCTATGTCACATTATTTACAATGGTGTTTGCCTGTCCAGTGTGAACTCTCTGGTGGCTTCTAAGATTAGAAAGGTGGATATAATACATGCTACAATCTTAACTTTTGTGAAGTTTCTCTCTGTGATATGAATTTTCTGGTGTGCTCTAAGATATGAGCAGTTACCCAATATCTTCTTACATTCCTTTTGTCCATAATACGTCTCCCCAGTGTGAGCTCTCTGAGGGTGCACTAAAATATTTTATGTAGACAAAGGATTTGTCACATTCCAGATTTTTTTACACTTTCCATTTCAGTACAGACAATCTGATGTGTACGAAGATTTTTCTTGAAGGAAAAGGATGTCTCACGTGGTGTACATTTGTAGAGTTTCTCTCCAGTATGGACTCTCTGATGTTTTCTAAGATTTGAACTCTGGACAAAAGACATGTCACATTATCCACATCTGTAAGGCTTCTCTCTAGAATGAATTTTCTTATGTTTTCTAAGATATGTGCTTGTAGTAAAAGATTTGCCACATTCTCCACATTTATAAGATTTCTTTTCAGTATGCATTTTCTGATGTTCACCAAGATATGTGCATGTAGTAAAAGATTTGTCACATTCCTGGCATTTGTAAGGCTTCTCTCCTGTATGAATTCTCTGATGCACTGTAAGAGTTGACTTCACAGTAAAGGATTTGTCACAGTAATTACATGTGTACGGTTTCTCTCCTGTATGAATTCTTTGATGCTCTGTAAGAGTTGACTTCAGAGTAAAGGATTTGTCACATTCTTTGCATTTGTAAGGCTTTTCTCCTGTATGAATTCTTTGGTGCTGTTTAAGTTTTGACATCATAATAAAGGATTTGTCACAGTCCTTACATGTGTAAGGCTTTTCTCCTGTATGAATTTTGATGATGCAGTGTAAGACTCGAGCTTGTAGTGAAGGATTTCCCACAGTCCTTACATTTGTAGGGCCTCTTTCCTGTATGAATTCTCTTATGCAATGTAAGATTTGAACTCACATTAAAGGACTTGTTACATTCCTTACATGTGTAAGGCTTGTCTCCTGTATGGATTCTCTCATGTTTTGTAAGGCTTGACTTCATAATAAAGGATTTGTCACAGTCCTTACACGTGTAAGGCTTTTCTCCTGTATGAATTCTGTGATGTACAGTGAGGTATGAGGCAGTACTGAAGCATTTCTTACATTTCCCACACTGGTACCGTTTCTCTCCAATGTAGTTTTGTTGTTGCAAAGGAGTATATGTAGTGTCAAAACATTCATCATCTTCTCTCTCTCTGTGTTCTTTCTTTTTAGTGTAGAGTCTCTGATCTTGAGTAATGCTTGAACTCAAGTCTAAGGGTTTCTCAGAGTCTTTAGAATTGCAGGGTTTTTCTCCTGTGTGCACGCTTTCATGTATATCTGTGTTTGATAAGTCAAGAGAGGCATCTCCAGGACTACTGCATCTACAGTCATTAGAGTTTTCTGTAATTTCACTTATTCGAATAAGTGCACATGTGGAGGGGTCATGAAGAATTTTCCCAAACTGATTACAGTGATAAGACTCCTTTTCAGTCTTCCCATGTTGATGGACAGGATCATACATGAAATAGTTCTCTGGAAAATTAGTAAGCTCATATTAGTAAGGATTGTTACAAAAATGAAACATCTGATAAATTATTGTCTCTCTTTGTTATCTCATTAAAAATGTCAACCATAAAGCACTTAGAGATGTTTCTCAAACACTAATTGAATGTGTTCTCACAAAATCAGACTGACAGTCTTAAATGTCAGTGAATTATAACAGACATCTCAACCTTATGAAAATGTGTAATGGCACAGGATGGATCAGGAAAATGAGGGAGAAATACTTAGCTTTGGGATGTGCTCATTGATTCATTAAATGCAGAAAACATGTGTTTATGTTTAAATCATTCCTTTGAAACTGATGAAGAGGAGGTTAATCCAATCCCAGGTCCACAGCACTTATACTATTAAGTAAGAGGCAATGAAGAGTAGTATTCATAAGACCAAATTCCTTAAAAGATTTAAGTCTTACTTAAAAGTATCACAGGGTTTATTTTCTCTCTAGAAAACCACATTAGATTCTTCAGAAGTAGCAGAATGAAAGGCAGTATTCTGCCAGATATCAGGGACTCAGATCTTTTGAGACCGGGCTGTCACAGGCATTGATGGGTTATTTGTACTCTCCATTGACTGAGATCCACATGGTATCATGTTTCTTTATCTTTCTTCACAGGGTTATTTGAGTCTAGTGGGTACACCAGCTCCTAGGAGTATTTTTCAGAAGGAAAGCTGTCTATCCTGTACTAGTAAGAAAATGAAGGATCCTCCAGCCTCTGGGGATGGTGGGGGCATGGGAAAATGGGAGGGAGAGGGAGCTGGGATTGACATGTGAAGCAAGCTTGTTTCTAATTTAAATAAAAATCTAAAAAACTGAAAAAAAGAAAATTAAGGATTAACGTAAAGACAGACATCAAGGAAGGCTACTAAAAATAATCCTTTTTCAAGCATCCACATTAGGCTTATAGTTTGTGAAATTATTCTAATCTGATGTCAAGAACTTTAAATCAAATTGCATGTTGTACTAGTATTCTCATCATAATAGGCTCTTGTTGCAGTAGTTACACTGACAGGATGCATCCTTGTACCAAGAAGCTACACTAAATTAAATGATCAGGAATGCTTTCAAGTAGAATTGAATATGGCAAAAACCATTCTCACCTCTTGCTTTCTCTTTTATCAGAAGCCATCATTCCCAAGCCCACTCTGATTTCTCTCCTATCCATATCCCAGGAGAATCTCATTTGCTTCCAAAAGGTTACCAGGCCTACCATGCATACACTAATCCACATCTTTCATCAAGTAGACCCTGACCCATGTGCAATTTTGAGAAAGAATACAGACATCTAACAAAGTACTCTCATCAGCAAATGAAGAGAACACAAAGCAGAGGAATATAGGGATGTCTTCCTGTTGCTATTTCTTGTCAGAATCTTTAACAAATTTAGGGAATGTAAAGGTTGTATATCTTGAGATTTTTCCTCAGTATTTTACCATGTCAGGTACAACTATAGACACAGAACTTTAACATATGGGTGTAAATAGTATATGATAGTAGTGTTATGAATGCATTATGGAATCAAGATGAGGCATGGTTGACACTTTTTACATGGAAAATGGAAACAAAAATGAAATATTGTGAAAAGGTTCTTTTCTTCTTCCAAAATTTCCATGGATTCCTGCTGCTTCTAAGGCAACTTAACATAGAATTTACAACCAATAGTGCCAATACATACAAGGGATTATTAGTTAGGAATTCTACAAGCAAAATATTCTTACCCACAGAGACCAAGTTGTTGTAATTCTCCAACATCACATCAATGTACAAAGCCCTCTGAGCAGGGTCAAGGCATTGCCACTCCTCTTGGGAGAAGTCCACAGACACATCCTTGAATGTCAAAAGACCCTGAAACAAGAGAATTGTTTGACCATGTGTTAATAGGCAGAGTGCTTTTGTGTATATTATTAGACTTGAAGAGAATTAAGGATGTAGATGATGAAGACATTTAATCAAACTGATGATTTTAATATAGTCACCATGTATAATGGATGTTCTAGGTTTGTAAAAACAGTATGACACAACAGGGTCACAAGCAATATAAACAAAACTACACACATTCAAGGTCTGAACATTGTTATGTATCTGTTTTGGATGCTGTGATTATGTCCTACAGGATCAGAGTGTACATGACTCAGAAGGAACACTTATGATGAGGAAAAGTGCTTTAATTGCTGTTCCTGTAGATCATGGCAATATACTGCTCTTCTGTCAACTCTGTGAATTCTTTGATTTTACATGATTCTATTATAACATGCTCAACTCTGTGTTTGAACCGTATGTCCCTTGCCATTCCATTATACAGCAAAGTGATAGATATGGAGGGTATAATTCATGGTTGAGTTCACAAGCAAATAATTTTCTCTTTTTTCCACAGTAACTCTGTGTGTGATAACATTGCATACTGTTGCTTTAAACATTAACATATAAAAACAGGTAACCTATGAGCTTATTTTTGAGTCACTAATAAGCAGATAGAAAAAGCCACATCAACCACATTTGACACAATCTAAAATTTACCTAACAAAATGAGAATATGGCAACTTATGCTGAATAACAATTTCAAATATTTGGAAGAATTTTTCATTTCTGTAGAGTTCTAAAAATTGAGGAAAGTCCTGTTACAGGATATTTGTTTATATTGCATGCATGACCATGTGTGTGTGTTTTGCCTCACCTGCTTAATGCACCTGATTGGCTTAATAAAGAGCCAAATGACCACTAGCGAAGCCAGAGTTTCATGGATAGAGAGAACTCAGGAAGAATCTGGTGCGGAAGTAGATGCCAGCAAAATCAATAACAAGTTTTAAGAAAGGAGGACAGGTAAAAAGCCACATGACAGAACATAGATTAACAGAAACAGGTAAATTTAAGTTATAAGAGGTAGCTTGGAAGAAGCCTAAACTAAAGGCCAATTCATCAACAACAATAAATCTCATTGTCATTATTGCAGACCTGGTGGTCCCACAAGATAAATCAAATTACAATCTCCAAAAATATATCCTATGATGTTTAAGTTGTACTAAGCAAGTACACACAATTATAAATGTCGATTTATTCAGAAGTGACATATATTTAATATAAGCAAAAGAATATAGTAAATTCTGTGAGAAATATCATCACCTTGTCAGTGCTTTTGAAATGATATAGAGCTCAGAAGAACAGCTCAGGAAAATATTTGGGCTTTTTTTGTATCTGAATTTTGTAGTTGTAATGATGTTCCTTTTTAGTACTTATGCATATTATCTAAAAGATTGTATGTTATTAGTGTTTATGAGTTTTCCTTTATTTCTCTAGAAGTGCATGGTGACAACATATTCTGTCTGAGCCATGAGGAAGGTATAAATGCAAACCTGTAGGTCAGAGCCCATTCCCAAGTCTCCACTTTAAAACACTGTATCTTCAGGGTAAGGGAGGAGAGCCATGACCTTCACAGGCAACTGACTAGAACAAAGCAATTGTGAGGAGTGTTCTTTATGCATCAAACTTGATGGCTTCTGTGCATCTATCAGTCAATACCATCAAGATATTATTCCTGGTGCATTCCACATAATGCTGTATAATGATTCCCAACCATGAAAACCTGCATAGTGGGATTCTATTGGGGGCAAAAAGAAAAAGACTAATAGAAATACTAATCTCTGGCATAATGTGGTGGTATATGCCATTAATCCCAGCACTTGGGCACAGAGACTTGTGGATCTCTGTGAGTCTGAGACCAGACTGGCTTACATGCTACTTCTAGGAGAGCCAGGGATGCACAGAAGGATTGCTTTCAAAACAAAACAAAACAAATAAACAAACAAAAAACCAAAACACTGCTCTCTGTAGCTTGGGTAGTTACAACTGAGCATCCTAAATATGTGTGTAGTGCGAGGAGCAAATATCCTGAGACAACTAGATGGCAGGTGTGAACAAATACATGGATATATCATCACTACTGTGTGATGGGGAAGTCCTTGTGTATACATTGTCTCATTGGTTGATTAAATAAAGCACTGTTGGCCAATAGGGAAAAAGATAAGAGGGGCTAGGAGTCAAGGAGGATTCTGAAAAGAGAGGCACAGTCAGTCACGATGTAGGATGCAGGAGAAATAAGAGGTCTATACCCTTTTCTCCTGTAAGAGAAGACCATGTGGAAATATAGTGTTTCCTGTGTTATTTGGGGGCTGAGACAGCTCGGGACCCAGGCTGCTGGTGGGAAGACTACCCATTACAACCGTGATATTGAACACCAAGGAGAAATTCAATTAGACTACTTTGGTAGTTTGGATGTAATTGCCCTACATTGTAAGTGGCACTATTAGGAGGCATGGCTTTTGTTGTTTTCAGTATGGCCTTGAGTTAGGAAGTGTGTCACTGTAGGGGAGAGATGGAGATCTCCTTTCCCAAGGTTCACTCAATGTGTCATTCGACTGACTTCCTACTGACTGCAAATTCAGGACTCTCAGGTACTTCTCCAACTTATCTTTCTGTATACATCCATGATGATAATGAATTGAATCTCTGAAAATGTGAGCTCAATTAAATGCTGTCCTTTAGAAATGGTGCCACCATCTTAGTGTCTCTTCACAGCAATTGAAATTCCAAGTAACACAACTACAATTTGAATCTACATTCAAGAATACATTTTCATGGTAGGATTAAGCCACATGTACAAGCTGTGTTCCACACTGTTCAGTGTGCTTAATTTTTAGTAATGGGAACCAAGAATTACTTATCATTGAAAACCAAGCTTTGTCTCTTAATTGCATCTATTGCTAGGATGTTGTGACCTCTGTCCCATGTGTTTCAATATGTGGTCTTTATAACCATTATTCAAGAAAATGGGACAGTGCTCACAAATAGAGACTACATGACACAGGAGCTGTCACTTACTAAAACATAAAGTTGTATTCCATCTTCTACAGCAAACAAGCATCACATACATGTATTTTATGGTTATGTGTTAAAATGTAAATATCTTGAAAGTTAGTGGTCATAAGTTCAGGTGGCATATTTACCTGCTAGGGAAAAATAGTCTGGGAAGTACTAAATGGAGAAAAGTGGTAATAGTGAGGTTAATTGAATTACATTGTATAGTTGTTGTTATAAATACTGCCTGGTATTGTCATAAAAGGTAGATGAGAAGAATATGGTAGAGGAACAAGAAAGAAAAGCAGAAGGCTAAGCATATTTAATATTTCTCAAAGGATGCAAAAAGTACAGTACAAAAATGTGTTCTTTTCTACAAATGATTCTGGTAATTCAATTAGATTCTTTCATTTGTACAAATTTGGTCAAAGAAATGAAAAACTTTATTTAAAGCCAGAAACACATACAAATCTAGAAAACACAGAGAATACCCACCAGGATGTTGGTATGGGCAAGGTATTATTGATTAGAGAGAAGACCAACAGCACAGGAACAGAACACAGAGGACTATATGAATATACAATGTTTCTATATGGAAACAATTAGCAGTATCCACATACCCAGCTGAAAGGAGAAAATCTGTACCAGCAGAACTTCAGATAGAAGCTCATACATAGAATTTAAAAAGAATTTCAGAAATTAAATTAGAAAGAACTAAAACTGCCAAACAAGAAAAGGGCAAATAATTGAATAGACACTCTTGAAAGACAAATACACAAAGGACCATTAAATATTGCAAAGGTGTTCCCGATCCATAAATACCATCATGGAAACAGAAACCAAAGATGATTTGGAATATGGCTGTCATCATCTAACCAGAAAACAAATATTAGAGAAGATTAGGAGAGAAAGGAACACTCATACACTGTTGGTATATGTACAGGAGTGTAAATTAATACAGTCATTCTGGGAATCAGCTTTGAAATTGTTCACAAAATTGAAGAGACAATATATGACCCATCAATGTCACTCCTGAGAATATAACCAGAAACCTCCACATCCCAATACTTACAATATTTGCATACCTTATTCACTGCTACTGCATTTACCATAGGAAAGTATTAAGATCAACATAATTCTACTAACATGCTATACATATAAACTGCAATATCATGCAGTTGAAGAGAAAATGTCAACAAAATTTTCTGTAAAATGGTCTTAGAATGTGTACTATTAAGTGAAGTCATACATTGTCAGAAAGAAGAAATCACATTTTCCTCATACACAGAAACTTGTCAATAATATATGTATATGAGAAACAATATGCATGAGAGCACACCAGAATACTGAGGAAAGCAAACAAAGACTGCATATTAAGGTTGAGCTAGGACTAATAAAGGTAATGAACACCACTTATAAAATCAGATATATATATACGTATATATATATGTGTGCTCTTCTACCTCTAATTCTATCACAGTTATTTTTATTTTCTGTTGGATAACTTGATAAATATATGTTCAATAACCAATTTGTAAAACTCCTTTTGTAAGACTCCAGAGGTTCTGCTCCCAATGAATATTCTTGCTAAATAAAAGTACATTTTTTTGTACAAAGTTTGGGTCTGGTTAATTGCAGTGTGATTTTTATGTTGTTTGCTTATGTTTGTTTATTTGAAACAAATTTCATACTCATACTAAAATTTAAAATATTATCATCAACAAAAAATTAATGACTTGAAATTATCTGAACATATAATATTTATAGAAAAGTGGACATGTCCACTGACCTGGGACATGCTTACTGGAGATTCACTCATTTCTTTCTGTTTTTCTTCTTTGAGTTATCTCTTTCAGGAACAATGAGCAGATAGATGGCTTGCTCTCCTGTCATATAAGGTAGAAAAGAAAAAAGAAAAAAATTAATACTGAGAGCTGTTAGAGAAAATGTCAGTTCAAATGAAAAATCCCAAGCAACCAAAATACTATGTATCCAGACAATGATCCTAAATCCAGAGGACTTTGAATGACATTTAAAGGTTGAAGGGAAAATCAGTCTCAACTATGATTACATTCAGAAAAAAAATCAATCTTAAAATTGATAGAGACTTAACGTGCATTTCAAGAAACTCTCAAGTTAAGATAATTCATTTCACTAAAGCAGCTTTGCAGACAATAATTAGAGGCAAAATTTAAACAAGAGAATCAGAGGATTTACCCATGAGAATATGGGAAATAATAAATTCCAAATAAATAAATTCTCAACTTAAATAAATTTGGCAAGTCAACCCAGCACTTTAATTCCTTGGCATATTCTCAAAGGACTGTAGCATCCTTCTTCCCAGATATTTATTAAGCCTTATTTATTGCTTCCTTACTCACAAAACTGCAAAAATAGAAACATCCTAAGTGTCCCTGAACTGGACAAATGGATAGTGAAAATGTGGTACACATACACTATGGAATACTATTCAGCTCTAAAGAAATTGAAATCACGATCTTTCAGCTAAATGGATGGACCAAGAAAAGATCAGTATTTGTGGAGAAACCCGTACTCAGAAAGACAGAGATTGTATCTTCTCTCTTATAGGAAGTATTTAGCTCCCAATCTTTAGATGTAAGTACATAACCTGGAGTAACTTCAGGAACCGGCGAACTAAAATGAGACCACTGTGTGGAAAGATAGAGTAATAGACATAATAAAAACAGTGAACAATGATCTAAAAAGGGGGAACTAGAATAAAGTGTGTGTGTGTGTGTGTGTGTGTGTGTGTGTGAAAAGTATGGAGTAGGGAGAGACATAAACACAGGTAAGTGAAATAGCAGTATTGATGTCTGGAAAAAGTCATAAGGAATCTTACTGGTTATCAACCACCAAAAATGCCTACAATACACATATGTCTCTGTATGCATGTTCAGTTAGAGTATAAATGAAAATTTCCCATCTCAGTTTATGATTTTCCTCAAAACAGTCACAGATTTTCTGTCAAACCACCTACAGCAGCCTGCTTTGAAGTTGTTGGTCACAGATGTCCTTGAGAATGCATAAACAGTACAGGCTACTGGGGTTGTCCACATTTGCCTCCCACAGGTGAGTCCCTACTGCTGAAGAAGACATGTGCTACAGTCACAGCCAGAGGACTTGAGATGGACCAGAATTTAAACCCTCTTCCCTGAGGAGGAGCAGGGGAGACTGCAAAGAAACTATTTTTACCAAAAGAAAGCTGACTGCAATTGGGCAGCATCCATTTTCAGTAAAAAGCCCTTTAAACAGGCTGTAGGTATTGACTCTCCTCCTGTGGGAAGTCAACAGTTACACCACTGGGCCTCAACATACCACAAAATAGAACACAACATGTTTTATAGCCAAAAATCTAATTAGTCTTAATAAACCCAGAATCAGATATCGCTGCAAAAGTTGAAAAAAATCAGAGAAGTAAAACAGACAACCCCTAGTGAGACTTCTTACCTCTACTGAATCATCAGGACTAAAGGGTGAGATCCAGTTTCTAGAGTCCTCAGACTGAATGGGCTGAGCTGTGCATGCTCCTGCCTTATATACCTCTCACCACCCAGACAAATTAACTCCTGTCTCCACCTCCCTAGTGCTGGGATTAAAGGTGTGTGACCTACAAGTACAGGTATTAAAGGTGTGATATCCATTTCCCCTTGAGACTGATTAAATCTCTGGTAGTCTGTGGTGACATTGAACTGCTGTCTGCTTCTTTTCTCATCCCTTGGCCTGGGATTAAGGGTGTGGGCCTCCACTCCCTGGTCTCTATGGCTTACTAATTGCCAACTCCCAAGCTTCAACAGTTGTTTAGATGCCCACCTTTAATCTTAGTCCTTGGGAGACTGAGGGAGATGGAACTCTTGAGGTCCAGTACAGCCTGTTCTACATGGTGAGTCCTGGGCAAGACAGAGCAACACAACAAGTTCAGTTCTCAAACACAGCAAACACAAGAACCAAAATGAATGATTTGTTCATGTGTTCATGAACAGAGTGTTTATTTTGAACCAAGAAAACAAGACTCTTGTAGAGATTTTTCCAATGTAGATGAGTTATGGTAATTATTCAAAAGATGCTTTCTAATTTTAATCTGCATGATAATACCTTTTCCTTTTTCTTATTCCCCTCCCCTGGAGACATGGTTTCTCTGTTTAATCACAGCTATCCTTAAACTCCCACTGTATACCAGGCTGGCAAGAACTCCAAGATCTACCTGCCACTACTTCCCAAATCCTAGAATTAAGGGCTAGTGTCAATACCATCTTTTTTAATGCCATTTCAAACTGAAAATAATGTGATCTGATACCATAAAACATCATACTGTGTTTTTCCAGGTTCTAAGGTGCAAAATTAAGGACTTGACACAAGAAGACACATTTCTTTCTCCTTTTTTGCCTGAGACAAAATCTCACCATGAAGCCCTGGCTGTCATAGAACTCACTATGGAGATCAGCCTAGCCCACAACTCACTGGGATCCACCTGTCTTTCCCTCGCTCATGGTAATATTAAAGTCAATTTCTGGCAAACTGTGAAAGCAACATACAGCAAATGAACCTCCAACATGAAACTAAATGTAGAGAAACTCAATGCAATTCTTCTAAAACTGGAAACAACACAAGGTTGTCCGCTTTCTTTGTAGCTCTTCATTATTGTACTTAAAGATCTACCTAAAGCAATAAGACTAGAAAAGGAGATCAAATATAAATTGGAAAGGAATAAGTCAAACTTTCACTATTTGCAGAAGACATGATACTTTACCTAAGTGACTCACATAATGCTATCAGAAAACTATTACAGCTGGTAAACACCTTCAGCAAAGAGGCAGGATACAAGATTAACTCAATAAAATTGGTAGCTCTCTTATATATAGAGGATAAAGGGGTTGAGAAAGAAATCAGAGAAACATCTCACATCACAATAGCCACAAACAACATAAAATATCTTGGAGTAATCCTAATCAAACAAGTGAAAGACCTGTATGACAAGAACTGTGACTCTTTAAAAAAAGAAATTTAAGAAGATACCAGAAAATGGAAATGTCCCCCATACTGTTTGATAGGTAGGATTAACATAGTAAAATCGAAATCTTACCAAAAGCAATCTATATATGCATTACCCATGAAAATCTGAGTGTAATTCTTCACAATATTGAAAGAATAATAGTCAACTTCATATGGAAAACAAAAAATCCAGTATAGCCAAACAACCCTATAAAATCAAGGATGCTCTGGAAGCGTCACCATCCCTGATTTCAAGCTCTACTACAAAGTTATAGAAATAACAACAGTTTGGTATTTGCACAAAACAGATATACCAATGGAATCCATTTGAAAACTCTGATATTAATCCACACAACTATAAACACCCAACTTTCAACAATGAAGCTAAAACTATACAATGGAAAAAGAAAGCATCTTCATCAAATGGTGTTGACATTACTGGAAGCCGACATGTAGAAGATTGCAGACAGATCCTTATCTATCACCATGCATGAATGGATCAAGACCTCAACATAAATCCAGCCTCTGAATCTCTTAGAAGAGAAAGTGGGAGGTACCCTTGATTGAATAGGTACAGGGGACCACTTTCTGAACATAACACCAGTATCACAGATGCTGAGATTGTCAATTCATAAATGGGACCTCCTGAAACTGAGAAGCTTCTGTAAGGCAAATAACACAGTCAACAAGACAAAAGAGTAGCCCACAGAATGGGAAAAGATATTCACAACCCCACTGGTCTATAAGAGCTAGTTCCAGGACAGCCTCCTAAACCAAGAGAAATCATGCCTCGAACTGCCCCCCCACCCCACATATGTGTCTCCATAAGTCAGTGGTCAGCCCATGCTAATAACCTACATCTGAGTTCATTCTGCACTGTACTGCTCTCACAAGTAGATGGTGGTCTTATCATTTTAGTAACTCAAAAACATGTTTGTCTTCTGTGGCTGATTCTAAAGTGCTTAGACCCCCCAACTGTCCCCACCCACCCCTAGGAAAATGCCAAAACCACATGCAGAAATTAAGTAAGGTATGTGTAGTGATATTTTGTTGTAATCTAACAAATTAAAGCTTGCCTGAGGATCAGAAAAAAAGAGGCCAGGCCCTAGCTCTTACCTCTATCTCAGTGAAAATGGACAATCCTGTCTCAAGGAATCCTCAGACTACAATGATCTCCACCAAACCTCACATGCACTGCTTTTGTCTCCTGCTGCCTTATATTCCTCTCTCCAACCAGTCATCACTCCTGTTCCTACCTCCCTAGTCCTGGGATTAAAGGCTTGTGATCTTAACTGTTGGGATCAAAGGTGTGAGCTCCCTTTCTCTTTTAGACTGAGTCATTCTTGTGTAGGCCAGGGAGGCCTTGAACAGAGATCCATCTGCCTCTATTTCACAGTGCTGAGATTAAAGGTGTGGCCACCACTGACTTGCCTCTGTGACTAACTAGTAGCTTAGATGTGTGACTAACCAGTGACTTTGGTCTTAACTCAGAATGTGCCTGATTAGTGACTTAGCTCTGCACTCTGACTGTTAGTCAAACTTATTGTTCAGATTACAACCAAAATATCTCTACACTTGCACTTTTTGTTAAAAATAAAACAGCTACAACTAACATTTATGCAAACTTCATTTGTTTGAATACAAACAAAATATCTCTATGGGTATATGTTTCCTGGCCTAAACATCAGTTACACTTCAATCTGAGGCTCTGGGAACACTGAGGAAGATGAGGAAGAAAGGAAGTAAGATTGGAAAGAGAAGGAAGGGCTAAGACATGCCACTCTCTAG